TCCTGTTTGTGTGATACATTGTACAACACAGAAAACTATGCATTTTTTAAATTAAATATTGGTACCTGAATGTGGAAATAATAAATATATTGCCAACATCCCACCCAGAATAGAAACAATATCATCAGTTGTGGTAAGTCTACAGAAAATGTAATGAAAGATATCTCATAATCGAGTAACAACTTGGCAGTCATCCTGACACCTCAAACAACTTTTTTTTTCTCCAAAGATTTATTTAAGAACATTACAAATGGTTGTTATTACTTTTTTTTTTTATAAGATAGATTCTTAGAGATTCCTTTATTATGTATATTCTCTGTGGTGGAAATGTACATTTTTAATTCTTGTGTATCTTATAGATACTTGAGTCATGTTTATTATCTTATTAACTGCTTAAATTCTCATAAACAGAGACTGTAATATATAGGCCTATTTGTATGTTTATTTAGAACTGCATTTGTATACTTAATTTAATACCAGGTAACACTCAATAGATCCTTGAAAGTTATCACTAGCTTATTTTTAAAAAGAAAATATTTTAAAAGCTGCATTATTTGGCCATAATCTTCCCCCTCCTCCCTACCAAAAAAGAGACTATTTTTAGTCAAAAGAATGGGCAACAGACTAAAAGTAGATAAAAGTATTGATCCTTCTAATTCTAAATCTAGTCAATCTAGATCTAGCATTAATTTGAAATGTAGTCCTAGATCTGTAACTTTTTGGGGGTACAAACTATGTTAGTCCTAAGAAGGACTCCATGCTAAAAGGAGGCGGGGGGAGATGGCAGACTATTAAGCTGAGGGCTGAGAATGGCGCTAACATTTGCTAACTGAATAATGTTTTTAAAGAGGGGGGGGGGGGAGGAGGAGGAGACTGACGACTAGACCTTTTGAGCGTTTTTTTCTTGAGTGCAATTTCTTTTCCAACTATATAGTTTTCCAGACTTTTATGACAGAAATAACTGTAGACTTTATACAGATGTGTGCGAAATATTTTCAATATATCTACATCAGATTTAGACTTAAATCCAGACATGCCTAGCCCCAATAGGCGTAGCCAGGGTGTGTGTGTGTGTGTTTGGGGTTCAACCCCCCCCCCCCACAGGTCTGAATTTAGTGACTGATTTTTTGCTTTGATTTTGTTTATTTTAGACGAGATTTTAATACTAAACCATCACTTGCCCCAGCACACCCAAGGGGGTTTTTGAGTTAAACCCCCTACAAGGGAATTTTGCAGCTAAACAATACCTCAATATTAAAAAAAAGCAAATTACACACTCAAATTCTATGAGGGTAGCCAAAAGGAGTTTTATGTTTTAACCCCCCACCCCCCTTTTCCAGTGGGGTTTGAAGCAAAAAAAAACAACCTCTTCAATATAATAAAAAAAAAAAAAAGCAAATTACTCTAAAATCTATGAGCGTAGTCAAAGTGGGTTTCAGTTTAAACCCCCCTTAAGCAGTGTTTGAAGCTAAAATATACCTTTTCAATATAAAAAAAAAGCAAATTACACACTCAAAATGCTATGAGTGTAGGCGGGGGATTTGAGTTTAAACCCCACTACAGAAGGGTTTGATGTTAAAAAAAAATACCTCTTCAATAATATTTTAAAAAAAAGCAAATTACACACTAAATTCTTTGTAGCCAAGCCAATGGGGGATTTCGAGTTAAAACCCCCCTCCTCCAGATGGTTTTTTTTTTTTAAAGTTTTAAGTTTAAGACCCCTCCAGATGGTTTTGAGTTTAAAATCCCCCAACAAAGAGTTTTGAGGTTAAAATCCTCTCTCTTTAATATTATTCTAAAGCAAAGTACAGTCACCAAATTCTATGAGCGCAGCTTAGGAGGTTTTGAATTTGTTAAAAAAAACAACTCCCCAACAGATAATTTTGACAAAACTTCCCCTTTCAATATAAAATTTAAAGCAAACTACAGTCACCTTTCCAAGAGCGTAGCCAAGAGAGGTTAAATATTTCTTCCAGTGGCCGGGCTCCATTAAGTGCAATGAAAAGTCTGCCAAAAATTGAAAAAGACTATATGTGGCTCAACAAAGATGGCTAAAACGGATTTCAGGTCTCAATCAAGGAAATCCTATGCCGAAATCGGAGTCGACCCATTAATAAGGTAGTGACAGAGCATTGCATGAGCTTTGTGGGACATGTTCTCCGACAAAATGAATTACACATAAGAGTTCCGATGACATGGAGGCTATTAGGAAGATAGCGCAAACAGGGACATCCTAGTGCAACTTGGCGCCAAACTTTCATGGAGGTCCTCAGAGCAGGAGGGAAGAGGCTTCAGACATTGCCAGATTTATTGTGGAAACAGCTTGCTGCCCAATGCGTCGAGCGTCGCGGGAGGATCTAAGTCAATAAGAACAGCACAATCGGATTTTTAAATAAAACATTTTAATAGCAGGATAATGCAAGTAGGTACCTCAGAATATGCATTTTGTAGGCTTAAAATTACTGAAATAGTGTTTGGCAGCGGGGCAGAGCACTAGGGGAGCTCCTAGCACTCTCCCAGACTCCCTTGCTGGCAAGGCCGGGAGTGTACAATTTTCCCACTAACTACAGGAAGAACCTATTCTAGGGCACAATAAACAACTTCCTAAAGAATGAAGGGTCAGAATGTTATATTATGTACACACAGAGACATACAGCCCCAACCCCACCCTCCCGAAAAAAAATCCTGGCTAACCACATACTACCCCCCAATCAAGGCCGGTCCTACAGATTGCAGGGCCCTATGCAAAACTGATTGCGTGGGGCCTATTCTTGGTTGTGATAAGGATAATAAGTGAAAATTAAGATTTTGTATTAGAAAATAAATTTGTCTTGCATATTATTCATACTTTAACTAAGTACACAATCACTGTCAAATTAATTTTACGAGCCATCAAAAGTAGATGATAGTTTTCCAACAAAAAGCTGATAAACATTGAGATCTGCCTTTGAGATTACTATAGACTAGCAAAATTTCGCTTTCATTGTTTTTTTTAAAGAGGTCGAGATATATTTAGATCTATATTTGAATGCCAGTGACTATTTAAGTAAATTAAGAATTTGAACTTGCTTTGGTCAAAATTCGCCTTATTATTACTTTTCTTTTAAATTAATGCTGACAATGTCGTTTTTTCAATGACACCCAGAAATGACAATTTTGTCTGTTTTTAAGGAGATTAGCATCAGTTTTCAGAAGATTTTAATAATTTCAGGAGATTTTCATGACTTTTTTTTGAATATTTACAATTTCAGAATTCCAGAAACCCTGTAATAATAAGTTAAAATGGTTTATTTTAATAATTTACACCTAGAATTCGTGCGGGACCCACTGCGGCCGCATAGGTTGCAGTGGCCTAAGACTGGCCCTGCCCCAATACGCAGAATGTGAACTAGGTTGAAAATGTGGAATTGTTTGGCCCTAATGTACACCACACAATCAACTTAATAGTACACAGGTAAACTGGACAGGGACTCATTAGGATAAAATTTACTGATCCACTTTAGGATAAGTATTTGTTGACCCATAAAGACCTGCTAACTATTGTGAACAAACGCAAGCTTAAAATCTATGGCCATATTAAAAGATCTTCATGGCTTGCTAAGACCTTCCTTCAGGGAACAGTACCAGGAAAAAAGAAGAAGAGGCAGACAGAGAAAGTGATGGGAGGACAACATAAAAGAATGGACGAGCCTGCCATTGCCATTAAAAGAGGTTCTAACTAAGAGAGAGGAATGGAGAAAGACTGTTGGCGAGTCTTGCATGGTGCCCCAATGGTCCAATAGACTAAGGGATAGGTAAAGGTAAATCTACGATAGTTTTTTTTTTAGATTCTTCACCTAAGTCACTAAAATAACGCAGACATTTCAGGGCTGTGTGCGATTTATCTTCACTAGCATAAATTTAGACATTTGATATATCAAGATAATTAAATGGACTAAATTTCATGTAGTTTTCAGGTTAGTTGAGAAATATCTTCACAAGTTGTAACTAAACTCTAAATCTAGACAATGTCATTAGCTAAACCTCGATCGAGATCTAAGTAGTTACTAAAACGTACAGACTTTACATGTGAAGTCACTCTTACTGTTACAACTAGTAAATTTAGGTGAGAGGGCCAGGTGAAACGCTAGCTTGAGCCAAGGCTGCATTCAATCACAAGGTTATGCTGAAGCACATAAATGGGAGAAAGGCAGTGTAGACTCGTCAGTGGTTGGCTCACAAGAAAAGCCAGCCCGTCATGCAATCAGAATGCCTACATACACTGCTTTTTACCCCCCAAACTGTTTAGCAAAAAATAAGCAACATTATATTTTTAAAAAATATTTTAGGGGAGTGTACAAAATTTTTAAATATTCTAGGAGCGCTACAAACCCTGTGTGTATATGTATATATATCATAAATATTAAAGTATTACATTAAAAAAAAAAAATTTTTATAAAATAAAAAAAAAATTTGTTGAAAATAAAATATACAGACCTGAGTCAACAAAAGCTTTCACTGGATGTCCGTTAACTTTACAATCAATGTACAACATATGGACTTGACCAAAACTTTCTGGAGCGAATTCCATGGCTGTTTCCATGTTAGTTTCAATATTTTTCATTCTATGTTTTAAAAGAATGTAATATAAATATATACATTATCTTCATCGACAATATACCTTCTAATGTTAGTAGCTTCTTTGGCTTACAACAGGCATGGCCAATCAACATCATTACATTTCAAACTATTGAGAAAAAAAAAGTGAAAATTCATATAACTTTGCTTAAAATAAAAAGACAAAATTTAAAATGTTTAAAAAGCTGGTTTGCTTGATGGTAGGACATGCACCATGCAGGCCGGTCGAAGTGCAATTTGAAAACCAAACAATATTGCACAACTACAAACCTACAAGTTACAGTCACATTCAAATCATCAAACAAATGAGGTATTCACAATATTTGTCAATGACGTCTCTTTCCTTCTCCCTCTCAGAGGAAAAAAAAAGGATGACAGTAAAAAAAGGCCTGGAAAAGTGCAATATGAGTTTATTTGTACAAGGAACACATTGCACATTTCATGACCTTTCTTCTGTGCCAAAAAGACAACAACTGAAAGAAAAAATATTAGAACACCTACACTTATTATGCATTTGAAAGAAAAACATTTAAATTGTTTTTTCCTGATGGATAGCTCTATATAAGACGGAAGAATACTTGTTATCCAAACAGGCCGGGGTAAGTGCAATTTGTAGACAAATATCCAAGTTGCACTTGCCAAAACCTGTCAAGATCACACTGTTTACATTTTAGTAAGATTTCCTTTTAAAACAAAATCTTGACAAACAAGCAAAGATTAAAAAAAAAAACAGATGACAAAAAGTTACATAATATGACAATAAACATACTGATGTTATGACTTTACAGCAACAGGCCGGGAAAAGTGCAATGTGAACTTGTTAGACAGACTGCACTTATCACAACCTGATGACATAAAGGCAGAAACCGTCAAAACTTTCTTGTGGGCATATTTTTCTTTTGATTAGCATGCTAATATTTCTCATTGGTAACATAAGACCATTAAATTTTATTTTCCATATACTGCAATAACAAGCATGCATATATATATATATATATATGACTTCCTTCAGTAAAAAAAAAGACTTTGGATAAAAAGAAAATTAAAAAAAAAAATTAAAAAAAAATACATAATAAATTTATCTTAGTCAAAATAAATAATTAACAAATCTACAAGGAACTGAGAGCATCTGTTCCTAAGAAGTTGTGAGTTACCATATACCATAATCACATTAGTTAAAAAAAAGTATTTTCCCTGAAGCTTATTTAGTATTAGAGAGCAAGTGTCCTATTAATATATTTATTATACTACAAAAGCAGACAATAACAGGTTTGTTTAGAATCGATTTTCTTTTTCTTAAATTCTGAAAATGATAGGATAGCATATTTACCATAAAACAGTCTAAAATCCAAAGTTAACTAAAGTTAGGTGCATTTTACCAGTCAATTTCAAAACTGTATTTACTGAAGACATCTATTAACATGGCAGTGAACATTACACCGAACAGTATTGGAACCAGCACACAGCATAGCTTCACACCATTTGTGACAGGAAAATAATTAAAGTAGTAGAGTAACCATAATAGTTACTAATTACACCACACAATCAACTTAATAGTACACAAGTAAACTGGACAGGGACTAGGAAATGAGCGTTAGGATAAAATTTACTCAACCACTTTAGGATAACTATTTGTTTATAAATAAAATTTTAAAAAATTAAATAAAAATCAAGAGTCAAAAAGTTTGTCAGGCAAGATTATTTTTTTTACCAACCTCTGGTAAAGATGATCAAGTTTGTTTTTTGTGCACAATATTCTTGTATTTTTGTTCAACATACCTGATAGCTTCTTCAATCTGCTGCTGGGCATGTGGATCAAAAGGGTCAGCACTCAACAGTTGTATTCTTTTTTGCTCCTCTTTTATTCTGGATTGTCTCTGCTCTTCAAATACTTTTGCAAATTTCACTTTAAAAGATATTTTTTTTTTTAGAAATTTTAAAATGTATAATCTTCACATTTTAATTAGAAAAGGTATAAACATATACTTTAAAAAATAGAGCTCTTAACAAGTCTAATTGTATCAATTAGTTTAGATCAGTCATGTAATTATATGTGTTAGTGACCTAAACATAATAAAATCTTTGTGATTAGAAATATTTTTACGATTTTTTTTTATTTTTTTTTTTAGCTTTTTCAATGATCATATTACTTGCCTGGACCAGCTGTAAAAGGGGGAAGGAAGAAGGGGGTATCTTGGTGGATGTTAACAAGATCGTTTTTTAAATGAATAAAAAAATGTTCACCCAGGCCTTGAGTCCTCTATGAGTATAATTCAACTTATACCACCACATCTGTCAAAGTATGATTTCTTTCCTTATTCAAGATTCCAAAACAAAATAACTAATTACCAATAGTTAATTAACTAATTGTTTAATTTCTATTTTTTTATATTGATTCTTCGGTTGCCAGGTAAAAGAAATAATTGATAAAATTTCAGCTTAATCCGAGATTGGGTGTGGGGAAAAATAATGTGCACAAACTTTTGACTATATAGAGTGAGTAGTTATAAGCTTTTAAAAATATTGCAATACAGACCAAATTTGATTCAAGAAAACAATTTTAATTTTGATATATACATTTTTTTAAATAGATAACATATCAAGTGAAAAAAAATTAATGAGCAACAGAGCTAGCTTAAAGGTGACTTGAAAATAGAAGCACTGTGCATTACATATATACTTTTTGATATGTGCATTCTTACCATTGTTTCCCATATAAATAAATATTTTTTTTAGAAAGATTTGTTTGTAGTGGGAGATTTATGTAGTGTTAAGTGAAATTTAGACATTAATACTTGTGAACATACCCATGTCACCGCTAAGTAAAGCATCAGCCAATGGAGGGTTTCTTTCTTTTAAAAGTGCTATCTGACTAGGATCTTTCAACAACATGCTTCTTATAAATGCTGGGTCATCTTCACGTCCTCTTGAAGGATACTGTCCAGATCCTGGCAAATTTATGCTTCCAAAATCAATATTTGGTAGTTCTTAAAAAAAATAATATTTGTTTTACTTTTTTTTTTTTGCACTAGCACTTCAAGAAATACATTTATGAGCTAAAATTCTAATTAATTGTTATTTCAAACACATTGGCACAATGTTATAAATGCTGTCATTTTAAACCCAATGGTCTCAAGTCTGGTAACTGAAAAGTCTAAGGCTTAAGTTTACACTAGTTTATAGTTATGTAAATTTCTAACATCATATCTTCACAGGTAAAAAGCAAGAATTTTACTTTGAAAACATTTCTCCCATTGAACTAAAATAAAATAAACAGGTGATGGTAGGTTGGTGAAAGGTTTTATATCTTTTAAAAATTTCTAAAGTCAAGGCAAATGAACACAAAATGACAATATTTGATTGTTTGATACACATAATTCTTATATAGAGACCTTAGATTCTATTTTGATGTGCATATTAATTACAGAACATGACTTTTACTGCACACATATATACACAAAATAAATGCAAGGCACTGTGGTTTGTACATTTAGATGAGAGAACTTTGGCAGCTTTTTGTAGATATGTTTTATATCTGGTTAAGGCAGCCTGAACATAAAATAATAGATAATTACTTTATTAGTACAGTAACAACAATTTTCTCAAACAACTAATATAGAATTAAAGTGAGTGAAAATATGCTATGAGTTTTTTTAAATACTTCAAAAGTTTACTTGTTTCACTGGTCATTAAATTGTACATGAATGAAGAGGAACTTAACTATAGAAAGTAAAAAGTAAATAGTGTTTATACACGGATATTGAACTACCTAGAGGTTCTAATATTTTGTACACTTCATCAAATTCTCCTTCCTTGAACATGTCGCTTTTTTTGTTTGTGATTCATTTGTTTTAAGTTTGGAGCAAAAATCAACAATTCATGACTGCGCATGTCCAATTTTAGATAAGTTCCGGTAATTTTGTTCCGTTTTTCCAAAGCAGATGGCAGTTTTTTAGATTCTCTGTAACCATGTATATAAAGCTATTGTTTTAACCTCCCCCGGCAATTCATACCCATATAAGGGATGAGCCTGTTTGATCGTAGGTTGATGGGCATATCAAAATAAACTTCCAAACATCTTTAGAAAGACATTCCAATCACATTTACACCGTTAGCTAAAATTTAAAAAGGGGGGTGTCCAAACAAATAATAATTAATTCAACTCATTCTCCTTCATTTGAACAAGCAAAATCGTAATAAGAAATATTATTGGGATTAATAAATCTATGATTTTTTTCAATGAATAAACATGACCTAGATCGAGATATCTAGAATATATAATTTATGTATGAAAGAAAAAGTACGGGCTGCTAATTTGAAGCCAGAGACCATGCCCACTGCAGGTGATCACGCCAGATGAGCTGGCGGTGAGGAGAGGTATACACTAAGCTTGTAGTGTCACAAATTATCAAACAGGCAGTGGAGGGAAGGGGGAGAGAGTAATGAAAAGAATTATAAGCATCTATAGGACGGAGGGGTGTTAAGGGGTAATAAAACGAACATCCAAATTATGAAAACAAGAATAGGGTCCTTGGATGGGAATTAAAAGAAAGACAGAGAGAAAATACATGTAGCCTAGTTGAAAATATCATGTTTATTAAATTATAATAATTAATTTATAGATCTATAATCTATATAAATTTACTTCTGTCTGTTTCTACACATAGATTATATAGGTATTTAAATAAACTATAAAAGATATATAAATATTGAGAGAGAGAGAGAGAGAAAGAGAGGAAATAGACTATAAATACATACTGCAAAAGTGAATCTACTTCTTTTAATACAATCTAAATAATTTTTAAGTAACACAGATATTATTTATTAGCAATTACATAGTGGTGTTCAATGACAATGCTCACTATTCAAATGAAGGAGAAAGCCCAAAAATTGCGTTCAATACAGGAGCATGAAGTATGATGAAGTGACCCAATTTATTTTAAAATAAAATCTTGACTATGGTTGGTAATACAAAGGAACACACTCATACACAGCTATTTTTATTGTCCTTTAGTTGAATAATAAGAATCTGCTTTCAGTTTTTGTGTAAGTTAAACCTTCACCAAATAAAAATTTGACCTAGATCCAGACAGTCGGTATCCAGTTATATTCTAAGAATCTACCATACATCTATAATCTAGATTTACAAGGACAAGATCTCAATTGTATAAGAAATTTTTTTTAAAGGAATAAATTAAAAACATTCAAGCATTTAACACACAATGTAAATGAATAATTATACTCTAAATAAACTTAAAATAACAGTCTTAGGTCAGTGTAGAAGTCACAAGCCCAGTGAGTGGCCTAATTTAACATTTTAGGTAGAATAAATAATATAAGTGCATTCATTTTTTTGTCTGTATTTATGCCTAGGGCCTAGACCTAGATCTAGTTTGAAAACATCTTAGAACACTTTGGTGATCAATTTTCTTTTCTACATCAAACCAT